GGAAATAACTTCTACCCTCCTGTTATTTCGAAATAACTTGTTTTATCACTCTGCTTTTGGAAAATATCACATGTCAAATACCACATTTGTATGGTTCAACCAAACGAGATACTTTAATCCAATTATCACTAAAATAACACTGAAACGTCACATGAACAATTAATGAGTTATTTGACTCTACAAATACTAAATCCAGAGTTAATCCATCCCAATGACCCTATGATTCTGAAACATTACTTTAAATAAATTATGAGTTTGCCACATATATATTGAGCTTTCTATACAACCCTCTTACAATACAATTGATCTTACTAAATAGGTGTCACAATGTGGCGTTCTACCTTTTCTTTGTATATGTAAATAATGGTATTAGTCTTATCATGAAATCCTTTTCTCAAACTATCCAACGTAAGATAAGTATAGTGATAACCTAAACTAATGCGAGGGAGCAGGAAACAGACTGACAAGTACAAATCAAAACCTACTCCACAAGTAGACTTGATCATCATCAAACAAAAACAAAAAACAAAACCAGAAATTCAAACTATTGGTGTCTTATTCAAGTACATGGGTGAAAACCCGCCTCGTTGTCGCATATAACTCGACATGATTCATGCTAGTTTGGAGTATGAATACTACTTAAGATTTGTCTCGTCCCATCCTGACTCGTTTGTCGATCCGTTTCTATCTCAATTTGTCTCCGTATTTATTTTTATTTCTCTTAATTTTACTTATCTTAACTCATATTTCATCTGATAATGCCTTATGAAAACATGAACGATGGCGTCATCCTGTCGCTGCAGCCACGGGAGGCATACATAAATGAATATTTGAAGGTTTATTTTATTTTTTATTTTTTGATAATCACCTGGGGATGAATATTTGGAGGTTAATTAAAGATTATTCACTTGTCTTCTTGACGTGCTTGTTCGCTTTATTGCTTCAACTTGACTTGGTATAAAATACACGGTGAAAAGTGACGTATACCAAACTTTGTGTGGATAGTAATTAAACACAATACCACGTCACACGACAATTAAAGACAATGAAGGAATTAAGTGGAGGCAAATCAAAGAGGTTATATAGGAGATTACTAAATTAGCGACCGATAAGTTGGTCGAAATTGTCAAAGGTCACATAGCCCAATTGGTAAAATTCTCGAGAAAACCTTGCATCTGTAAGTGTGAGGTTTCATGTTCGACCCTCCTCGAGTCTAGTTGTGGTGTTCCCGGAGGCACCAAAAGGGAATCTTAGTGGAGGGCTCAAAGAGCTCAAGAAGGGTGAACCCACAGATTTGATCTCGCTCCGCCATCACTCAAACGGTGTGTGCGTAGGGATGTTCGTGGGTCTTTTTTTATTACTTGACAGTTCAACATAGAGAAATAGCAAGGTAGACGACCATTTTCTTGCAATGTTATAATATGGACCATCCGAACTAGAATTCCCAAATCAATAAGTAGGAATTGTGTTATTAAATTTTACATAATTTTGGATTTTGTATTGAAACCTTTCACTATTTCCGACATCCATAACTCTATTTTCGGAATGAAATCTTTCTCTGCCCCTGGTCCGGATGGCTTCCAAGCCATTTTTATCAAAAAATATGGAAATTTGTAGGTAGAAGCTTGACTAACTTGGCAGCGTCTTTTTTTGAAACAAGGTGTCTTCCTTCTGGGATGGAGGATTCCACCATAGTTCTTATTCCAAAAACTGATGTCCCGGAGACTCCCGCTCAGCGGAGACTAATTTGCTTGAACAACGTCAGCTTAAAGTCGATTACCAAGGCAATGGCAAACCGGCTCAAACCTCTTATGCACAAGCTTGTTGCCCCAACGCAAAGTGGGTTTATACTCAAAAGGCAGACTACTGATAATATTCTTGTTTTGCAGGAAGTTCTTCAAACTTTGCGTAATAAGAAAGGGAAGAAAGGAGACGTGTTATTTAAAATTGATCTTGAAAAGGCTTATGAAAGGCTTAGATGAGACTTCATCAGAGACATTTTGTTTGAAGTTGGTCTTCCCAGTACTTGGATTAGCAGAATTATTTTATGTGTTGAAAGGAACAGGATGAGGATCAATTGGAACGGGAAGCTCATTGATATCATATCCCCTATCACCATACCTATTTGTCCTTTGTATGGAGAGACTGTCTCATAGGATATAACTTGCAGTTGTCAACAAACAATGGAAGCCGATCTCTCTTACAGCTAATAGTCCCAAAATCTCACATCTTTTCTTTGCAGATGATTTAATTTTATTTGCAGAGGCAGAAAGCAGGCATATCGACATTATTCGGCAGTGTTTGGATGAATTATGTGCTAGCTCAGGACAGAAAGTTAACTTATACAAGTCGGCCATGTTTGTTTCTTCGAATGTCCCCAGAGACAAGGCTCAAAGCAACATAGCCAACATTCCTCTTGGAAGGTACCTAGGCTTAAATGCTATTCACGAGAAGGTGACCAAAGACATATACAAGGAGTTGGGATTACGCTTTCAAATGAAGCTTGCATTTTGGAAAACTAAACATTTATCACTTGCAGCTAGGATGACCATTGTGAGATATGTCTCCTCCTCTATGGCAGTGTACCCTATGTTTGCAGAAAGTCTTCCAGCCTCTGTTTGCAGGGACTTGGACAGAATCAATCGGCAATTCATATGGGGCGGAGAAGAGGGGAAGACCAAGTTTCATCCCGTTCTTGGAGCCAAATGACGATTCCCAGAAGTAAAGGTTGAGCAGGCATTCGGTCTACTAAAATGGCCAATCTGGCCATGCTTGCCAAAGGAGGGTGGAAACTGGCTACTGGGGATGACTCCTTGTGGGCTAGAATTCTGCACGACAAGTACGGGCGCAATAGGGAGGGTCTTGCACTGCTGAGGAAATCAAAGGGAAGTTCACTTGCTTGGAGGAGTTTTGTTTCTACTGCTGATATACTTAAGAAAGGTTTTGCTATTAATGGTAAAGAATGGTAGAAGCACTAATTTCTGGCTTGATTCTTGGATATCACAGGTACCCGTGATCGAAGTTGCTACTGTAGAAGTTCTTGAAGACCAAAAGAGGAAAATGGTTGCAGAGCTTTGGGATCCAGAACAAGGATGGAAGTTGTCCGAGTTTCAGCACCTCTTCCTTCAGCAGACGATAGAAAAAATCAGAGCATCCATGGTTGATCCAATGGCTGCAGAGGGGGATCAGATTCTGTGGAACCTTACTGCTAATGGACACTTCTCCGCTAAATCGGCTTACCAGGCTATGTAGGATCAACAACACACGCCTCATAACTCCCTTTGGAAGCAAATATGGAAGCTAAGTGTGCCGGAGAGAGTGCGAGTCTTTGTGTGAAGACTCCTGCCCGAACTGCAGGAACATCCCTTAAACTAATGCCCATTGCCTAAGAGACTGCATCAAAGCTAAGTTTGTATGGGAAAGGACTTTGAACCAGCAGCAGGGGGGATCTTTCCTCACATCCAACTATAGTGATTGGCTATGGAAAAATCTGCTTGATGAGTCTCAAGGAGCTTGGCCATGAGACTGGGCTAGCTATTTTAGCCTTATCTTGTGGTACATCTGGAAGTGTAGGAATGACAGTATCTTCAAAGGGATTAAGTTCTCGACGCCTACCCTGCATCACTACATTACGGCGAAAGCTTCTTTTTGGGAAAAGGCTTGGATCTCACCAAAGGTTGTCTCGAATTTGAGTGAGTATAGACATCGAGTGGAGGCTTTGATATAAGAGGAGATGCACAAGGAAATCCGGGAATGACAGCAACTGGTGGGGTCTTGCGGAACTGTTCTAGCGATTGGATGTGCGGTTTTTGCAGCAAGATAGGAACTGGAAATGCAATCCTAGCAAAGCTCTGGGGAATCCTTTAGGGCCTAGAGTTGGCGTGGAAAAAAGGAACTCAATTCCTTATTCTGGAATATGACTCTCAACTCGCTTTACAGCTGATTGAGAAGCGACGTGATATTGTGCATCCCTACTCCACGATCCTCAGGGCCATTGAGCGGCTCTTAGTAAAAGAATGGGTGGTTCAGTTAGTCCACACGTACCACGGACTGGCTCTCGAAGCACGCTCTCGTCTATCCCCTTGGTACGTATGTCCTAGAAAATCCCCACCGAAATTAGAGAGAATCTGTAAAGAGGACGTGCTTGGTGTTAGATTTAGCAGGCAAGTGCAACAACCTGCAAATGACTAGGTTCTTTGGGATTTTGTTTTCTCCGCTTGTTACTTTGGTTTACCTGGCTTTGACAGGTTTTTAATCTTCTGATCTGGCACTTGTGCCTCCTTTAATAATAATAAAAATTAATAGTTCAAAGAAAATTCAGAGTCCATGAAGTAAAATACAGATTAAGTAGTAATTTGGACGACATTATGTACAAGGGAAGAAAACAAGGAATTAATAATACCATTATTTAGAGGAGCAAGAAAAGCAAGAATATTAGTCTACCCTAAAAATCCCTTTCCACCCAATAAATGAAACTAAATGAAGAAATGGTAGATAAAAGAAAACAAAGTTTTCATATGAAGGGCAACTTAAATTGATTGTCCTAATGTCCTTGGGACCACCAATGATAACCGAGTTGATTAGCAGTTAACTGTTAACTGATTTATTGGTTAGTGATTATTCATTAATTCAAAATGTAAATCGACCCACAAAATCTAGATGGTTAAACGCTAACTCCTTTTTTTAATTAATTCATTAAGTAAACAAATGGGACAAACCCTATGAAAAGAATCCATACATGATCAACAACTAGGGCAAAGAAAACATGTCCAAAAGGTCCAAACAAGCCAACAAACATGGATAATGAGCCCAAGTCAGAGAGACCAAACATGGACAAAAATTGTTGAAGTGATGGGCTTTAGCCCATTGGCCCATGCATTTACGTGACCATGTATGTAGGCCTTAGTGTCTAACCCTAAGCCGATTCTCTTCTCCCTCATCTCGGCTAGAGTTCGTAGACTTGTATATATGTAATATGTGCCTCGTTTTGGAGAATAAGAAAATACGAGAACAGCCTTTGAGCCGTAGATTAGTTTCGACGATCATACGTTGAGGATACCACGTAAATCCTTGTCTTCCTGCTTTGATTATTTATGTTTCGATTACTCCTCCGTTTCAGCTTCGTTAACATGGTATCAGAGCTGACGAGTATGAAGTTCGATCATATGACGAAGCGACTCAACTCGAAGAACTACGCCATCTGGGTGTTCCAATTCCGGATGATGATTGAAGGGAAAGGCTTCCTCGGCTTTCTTGATGGCACTTCTCATAAACCGACAGTTCCGTCGTCGACCGATCAGGAGCTCTCTTAATGTATTCAAACTGACGCTCGGGTACAATCATTGCTTTTGAACTCTGTAGATCGGACCATTCTCTTGGGTCTCCGGTTTCTCTTGCCTCCTACTCTAATGTTGTCCGCATCTCTCTTGTCCCAGCCATTACCTGCAGACGCTCAAGCCGAGCGCACCAAGATCAGGCTCATTCAGTTCCTGATGTGGCTTCGACCCGAATTCGAGCCTGTCCGAGCTACGTTACTCAAGTTCGGCGACTTCAGCTCCTCATGAGGGTCCAGTTTATGCCGCACAGCCCGCTTCGACGGCAACTCCTACTTCGGATGGGGTTCTTGTGACCTCGGAAGCCCTTGAGAAAATGGCGAATAAGGCAATTTCATCCGCATTTGCCAGTCTCCAAATCTCGGATAATCTCCCTACATGGATAGTAGATTCGGCCTATTTCAATCACATGACGAGTAATAGTTCTGTTCTTTAGAATGTTTCTCTGGTCCATGATTTTTCCTTACAAGTTGCGGATGGTACTAAATTACGTGTGTCTGGTATTGGTTCAGTTAAGGATCCTTGTGTTTAATTGCCTGCTACTCTGCATGTTTCACGTCTGGTCCCTAATTTGGTTTCTGTCGGACAACTTACTGAACAAGGTTGTCGTGTTGTTTGTGCACCATCTGGCTGTGTTATTCGGGACCTGAAGACGGGGAGGGATCTCGGGAGGGGTAGCAAGCGCGGACTTATCTTTGAGCTGGACAAGTTGGTTACAACCACGCCCACGTCCCAGCCATCATCATCATTATCAAGTTCCACTTTGGTGTCTAAGGTCTCTTCATTTCCTGTCTTTTTGAGTTTTGGTGAACAAAATTTTCAGTTTTCGCATTCACGGTTAGGACATCCTAATTCTCGTCATCTTGAGGCTACGTTTCGGCAAAATTTGTTTGGTAAAACTCCTAAACTTGGTCGTATTTCGGATTTTACTTGTACCAGTTGTGTGGAGGCCAAAATGATGTGACCAAAGTACGCAGCTTCAACGCCTTTTTATGGTTTTCTGGTGTAGCCTTTCTTGAACTCGAAAATAAAAAGATAGGATGGAATCAATCGGACAATTCCTAACTCGTGATGAAGGGAAATTGGTATATTAAACCAATCGGACATCACCAACTCGTGGAAAGGGGCAATTGATATAGGGTAGATGCTCGCCACAACTAGACGCGTTCTCTAGTTGATAAGATACACGTACAATCTCATGTAATCCTCAACAAACGTCTTGCACAAACGTTCACGAAGGAACACGAGTAAAAACTCTTTAAATGATAACTTGAATATTTTGGGTACAAAATTCGTAGGTCTTGCACCCTCTATTTATAGAAGTCTCAAAAACATAAAACTAACCTAAAGGAAAACAAATATCACACTAACTAAGAAATATAATACTACTTAAATAAGGACTATAACTCGTTTTTATGACCAAAGGAAGCTCCTTAGCATCTAAGTAATCTCCAAACACGTTTTTAATGCTTAAGGAAGCTCCTTAGTGGTTAAGCAATCTCTTTCCTTGTCCTTTTCACATTTGGACAACTTGGGCAGCAAGGATGGACGTTTTGGGCTCCAAGAAGTGTTGTAGGCCCGATCCTTAATGCATTCTCTATTTTATCCATCAAGAATGCTCTAGTTGATCCTTAAATCGTCGAATATGAATCTTCATTTTTGGACCACGGGAATTGCGCTAGTCGATATCGCATCATTCCCTCTCTCTTGAAGAAGATTCGAACTTGAGGGGGAGCTGGGTTTTGGATCCCAAACACCCAACGGACGAACCAAAGAGAGAGAGGGAAATTTGAGGGCATTCTAAGAGTAGAATTGGAGGATTTCTTCGCCTAGGAAGCTCGAGGAACAAACCCGGACTTGAAGACTGATCATCTGAAGATTCTTACTGCAGTCTCTCTCTTCTCTATGGAGTAACTTCCCTTCACTTAGGTTTTGAGGAACCCTAGCTATGTTTGTTTGATTGGATGATTGTATCAGTACTCATACTTGATAATCTTGAGTTCATATTCAATCTATCATGTTTTCATGATTCAATTGTGCTTTAGTCAAGATTATTGATTCTGCTTTGATCCTATGAGAGCGAATACCTGATTAGGTCAACAGAGCACCATAGATTGATAGTATTGGATCGATTGCTTTAGTCCAGGGTTGATTCACTGCTTTGTATCGATTGAGAACCTCATTCGATAGAGGGAGTCTAGTTCAGAACTCCTTGATCGGTTATTCTAGAGAAGGATACGTCCCTCTAGGCAATTGACTCAAGAGGGTCGTGTTCCTTTAGTCGAGACTCAAGGTCTAGTCAAGGATTCTCCGCATTGTGAATGAAAGTGAAACAAGTTAGAAATCATCAATCATTAATCTGGCTAGTGGCTAGGGGGAATCATACCTAAGTGAGTTCCCAACCTGTAATTAGATTAATTTTAACTATAGTTTGCTAGAGTAGTTTTAGTTCTTCCTTATTAATCTGGTTTGCTAAATAATGAACTGAAGCTGAGTAATAGTAACTCTAGAGACCCGTGAATTCGATATTTATTACTTGAGGCCACTATACTGCAGTCCCTTTCATTGGTTACACTTGGCCATTGTTAGGAGTTGTGTCATAGCGAGTCAACAGCAAGGATGGACGTTTTGGGCTACAAGAAGTGTTGTAGGCCCGATCTTTAATGCATTCTCCATTTTATCCATAAAAATTGCTCCTAGTTGATCCTTAAATCGTCGAATATGAATCTTCATTTTTGGACCACGGGAATTAAATATCGCGCTAGTCGATATCGCATCACAAAACCACTCGGATTTCTTTTCCTTCGAGCAGTACCATTATTCATGAACCTCTTCATTTGATCCATACTGATCTGTGGGGTCCGAGTCGGGTTACTTCTCGTCATGGTTATACATATTTTGCATTATTCATAGATCATGGTGCTCGATATACTTGGGTGTACTTTCTACGTCTTAAATCTGATCTTCTTTCCGTTGCCACTGAATTTCTCAACATGATCCAGACTCAGTTTGATAGGACCGTTTGTGTAGTCCATTCTGATCCCGCTGGTGAGTTCAGTTCTTCTCATCTTCTTCATTTATATAAATCCCATGGCATCCTTACTCACAAATCTTGTCCTGGTGTATGCCAACAAAATGGCCTAGTCGAACGTAAGAACCGACATGTGCTTGAAGTTACCCGAGAACTGCTTTTAGTGTCCCATGTCCCCACTTCCTTTTGGCCCGAGACTATTTCCACTACCGTTCGGCTCATCAACTACCAGATCACTCCTGTTCTTGACCAAACCAGCCCCTTCCATCATTTATTTTCTAAACCCCCTCCTTAATCTCGTCTTCGTATTTTCGGTTGCCTCTGTTTTGTGCTCCTTCCTCATTCTGAGAGAACTAAACTCACCTCAAAGATTGCTCGTTGTGCTTTCCTTGGCTATAGCGATGTTTTTAAGGGTTACCTCTGTTACGACCCTATCCTGCAATGCCTTCGGATTGCTTGTAATGTGGTCTTTGTCGAAAACGTGATGTTCTATTCTCCATCTGAGTCGATTCATCTCTTGTTCGATGAGTCATTGAGTCTTCCTTACTTCTTAGATGATGATGATGATGATGATGATATTGATGTTGATCCGATCCCCGAAGCTCCCTCTCCACCCGTGACGCCTCCATCGTCTCCTCCTCCATTGCGCAGGTCTAATCGCTCTACCCTTGGTTAACCCCCGATTCGCCACCACGATTATGTGTCATACAGTGCCGAGGCTATTCTGATCCCTACTCGATTCTCTCAGGCTCAGGATGACCCTAATTGGGATGTCGCTATGAATGCCGAGTTTGTGGATCTCGATGCAAATAAAACATGGTCCATTGTTCCTCGTCCACCTTCTTATACTCCGGTTATTGGCATTCAGTGGGTATATACTCTGAAGTTCTTGCCAGATGGTACTCTAGAATGGTATAGGGCTCATGTTGTGGCGCAGGGATTTTCTCAGGAGTATGGTATTGATTTTGAAGAAACTTTTGCCCCGGTGGCAAAGATGGTATCTGTCCGTTCTCTCCTGGTTGTGGCTTCCATTCGACAATGGCCTCTCTACCAGCTCGATGTGAAGAATGCCTTCTTGCATGGTGACCTCAAAGAGACGGTTTATATGGACATTCCCCCAGGGTATTCTTACGGGAATCGGGCCAACCAGGTGTGTTTACTCCATCTCTCTCTTTACGGTTTAAAACAGGCTCCGCGTGCTTAGTTTGAGAAGTTTCAGTCGACCATTTTGAGCCTTGGCTTTCAACAGTCTTAATGATCCATCATTATTTACTCGACGTTCTTCTCGTGGCTTGGTCGTGCTTCTCTTATAAGTGGATGACATGATTGTTAGTGGGGATGATGCAGAAGGAATTTCGGCTCTCATCAAAAGGTCTTCATGAGTCGTTCAGCTTGAAGGAATTGGGCTCTCTTTCATACTTTCTTGGCCTGGAGGTTCACCGGTCTTCTAAAGATATTCTCCTTTCCCAACAGAATTATATTGATGATTTACTTGACTCATCACGATTTTCCGACTGTACCCCCATTTCCACTCCTATGGAACTTCATCTTAACCTGGGGAGGGAAATAGGTACTCTATTATCTGATGGTGCTAAGCTTTATCGGAGTATTGTTGGCAACTTGATTAATTTGACATCAACCAGACCAGATATAGCTTATGCCGTACAGATTGTCAACCAGTTCATGTCGGCTCCTCGCAGTGCACATATGGAGGCAGTGCATCGGATCCTACGCTATCTACAGGGGACCCGTAGTGTTGGTTTGTTTCTTTCGGCTAATGGTTCTTTTGTACAACAGGCTTTTTCATATTCTAATTATGTGGGTTGCATTGACACTCGATGCTCTACTAGTGGTTGGTGTATTCGATTAGGAGATTCGTTTATCTCCTGGTGATGTAAGAAACAGGATCATGTCTCGAAATCGTCAACAGAGGCAGAGTATAGAGCTATGTTCGAGGTGACTTCTGAGTTGGAATGGCTTCGCCGATTGCTTGGTGATCTTGGTGTCGTTTGCGAAGTTCCTATGTAGCTCTACGTGGATAATACGTGTGCGATACAGATTGCTACTAATCATGTTCTTCATGATCATACTAAACACATTGAGGTACATGTTCACTACATTAGAGATCTTGTTAATGATGGTACGATTCGACTTTCTCATATCATGTCTGAGGACCAGATTGCAGATCTTCTGACTAAGGCCTTTACTGCTAGCCGCAACTCTTTTCTCGCTGGCAAATTGATGATGCGAGACCTCCATCAATTTGGGGGAGGCTGTTGAAGTGATGGGCTTTAGCCCATTGGCCCATGCATTTACATAGCCATGTACGTAGGCCTTAGTGTCTAATCCTAAGCCGATTCTCTTCTCCCGCATCTCGGCTAGGGTTTGTAGACTTGTATATATGTAATATGTGCCTGGTTTTGGAGAATAAGAAAATATGAGAACTGCCTTTGTGTCGTGGATTAGTCTCGACGATCATACGTCGAGGATACTACGTAAATCCTTGTCTTCCTGTTTCGATTATTTATGTTTCGATTACTCCTCCGTTTCAGGTTTGTTAACAAAAATGTCAAACCCCTTGCCGAAAAACCTTTCACCATCGAAACATCCACCGCCGGTGACAGTTTCCCAGCAACCATTGGACGAGGAACCAATGCTAGCTCTAAGACGGAAAAGATGGAGTCACCTGACCCAGAAGGAGGCACGGCGAAAGCAGAGGTACGCACATCCAACCATTCCTGATCGCTGGATCGAACACATCAGCAACTCTTCGCCATCGCCAAGCAAGAGGAACATCAACCGAAGGGTGGTGGTGAAGAAACCAGGGGGCGAATCTCTGCCTTCACTCTCTTCAAATCCGAATGTACAGCATCTCCGAAACACCGAGATATACTGATTGCTGAGTGAAACACTAACCGATGGATTAGTTAATGGTTAACCGCCAAACTATCGACCTATAACTGCCTTTTTCATTATCGCGGTTAACTGCTTACCAAAAAGCTTCTACTATTAGCCAATCTTCCACAAGTACTTAACGATCAACCCAATAACCTATTAACCGATACACCAATCCCGCCGAGAGGATTGTACAAAATTCTAAACTTATGTCTACAACTGCAACTTGAAAACCATCTCTGAAGGTTAGGCCACGACCACCAACTTCATCATATACTCCAATCTTCTAATCAACTCTCAAATTACAACTATAAAAACCCTTTTGAAAATCTCCTCATTGAACCGTCCGTCACAACATCTAGTTTAGATGTGGCTGGGCACGTGGGTAGTTAATCCGCGGATTGATATCGATCCACCCGCAAATAACCTAACCCGCACGCAGTGGGTGATTGATGTGGGTGGATTGCCACTACGGGAAAAGTGGCCTTTGGCAACACTCTTCATGTAACACTTTTTAAAAGTGTTACATAAAATAAGTATATGCAACGGTTACATCATGTATTGCTTAATATATTTCTTATGCAACACAAATTAACATAACTTAAAATTTTGTTGTATATACCTTATTATACACAACACTTGTGCAATAAAATAAATTGTGTTGTCTATTCTTGCATTTTAGACAACACTTACTAAAAAATGTTACATATTAGAAGAATTTGATAGTTCTTTTATATTAATATATTATTAGATACATGGATTTGAAATTGATTACAACTTCACTATAATTATTAAACAAAATGAACTTTCACTTTGAATGTGAAAAAGAGTTGGTGTATCGTGAGAAAAGTTTGTTATTAGAATTTCCCTCAAAGGTTCGTCTCTACCCTGATGATAGATCCGTTTTTTGATGTTGAAATTGAGTATCTGAATTTGCCTAGGGTGTGCCCAATCTGTCAAGTTTATGGTCATGACTATACATTCCTGGCAAAGAGTAACAAGAAGTGGGTAATCAAGGGGAAGAATAACTTGAATGAGAGTATACCAGAGTCTAGTTCTGTAGTGGTTTCAGAACAGGCAGTAGACAGTATAGCTCTCGAATCTCCTATTGGAGATGTGTCTGTGCAGTCTCTGGTTGATAACCTCGATGTAGTTGCTTCAGTGACAAGCGTGGACTCAACTGAATTGGTTCAAAAAGGTAAGGAAGTTGCTAATAAAGATCCTATTTCTTCATAGTGTAAGGAAGCTCCTACTCCTCAACCTATAGGGAGTACTTCTGCTAGGTTTGTAGATGTTGTTCTAGGATCTACAGCTCCTGCTGGGAGCTCTAGGACACTGATACAATTGTGTGCTGAGACTAGCTCACCAAATTCTGGGATGCTAGTTTCTCAGACACCTACAACTGCAAAGGAGAAAGAACCTATATCCATGGATCACTGTTGGAAGTTCAAAACAGAAACCATCTACACCTTGAGTTGCAATGCCTGCTATCCCTCGTAAAGGGGGAGAGCTGGTAAGAAGAGATGAAGATACTTTGAATATATGGGGTTTAATGTCCCGGATAGAAATAAAGTTGTTCAACAACTAGTTAATATATACAATATAGATATCATAGTAATACTGGAACCTAGAGTTAGAGCTAATAAGGTTGATGATATGATTAGCAGGCGTTTTCCTGTATGGGAGTCCAAAGTGTCTAATAATTATGTGGGATTGGGAAAGTTGTGATTGCTTTGGAAGACAAATGTTAAGCTCACTGTTCTTCACAAAACGGATCAGTTCATTCATATGATGATTGGTTCAGAATCCCCCTTCTTCCTCTTGGTGGTTTATGCATCAAATGAGGAAGTTGACAGAAGGATTCTTTACAAAGATTTGATAAAATTTCAAGTTAGCTTAGCTCCATGGGCAGTTTTCGGTGATTTTAACACCATTGGTGATGCAAGTGAGGCTTCTAAAGCGCCCAAATTCTCAAGCAGTATGTCTGATTTTAGGCAGTGGCAGTATGACTGTGAATTAGTGGAGCACAAAGCATCAGGCCCGTGGTTCACTTGGCTTAATAAACAGAAGGGTAATCCCATAGCAAGGTGGTTAGATCAAGTGTTTGTCAATACAAAGTGGCTGGAGGTATTATCTTCTAGTACTGTGGATATGTTGGATCCCTCAATGTCTGATCACTGCCCAATTTTCCTAAACTCAGACTGTTCTGTGACATCTCTACCAAAGCTCTTCAAGTTCTTTAAATTCTGGATTAAACATCCTCGTTTCACGGATCTAGTCTAGGAGGCTTGGTTGATGCAAGTTGAGGGCCCTTTAGTCAGTGTTTGTAAGAAGCTGAAGATTCTTAAAAGACTCCTTAAGCAGCTGAACAAGGATGTTTACTCTGATTTAAGTGAAAGAGTTTGTTTAAAAGCGGGTGAACTGCTAGTTGCTCAGGCTGAGGCCCTTAATCATCCTTCTCCTCTCACTTTTGAAGCTGAGATTAGAATTGAAAAAGAGGCAAAAAGAATTAAGTGAGGCTGAAGAATCCTTCTTTTGTCAGAAGTCTAGGGAAGTCTGGCTCAAAGAAGGAGATGCAAATGCTCCTTATTTTCACAACTCAGTTAAAAGTAGGCAGAAGAGGAATATGATTATATCATTAATTGATAAGTCTGGACAGAGGGTTATAGACACAAATGGGATGACTAAAATTGTTGAAGGCTTTTATAGGAAGCTGTTGGGGGAAAAGGACAAGGAAGTTTCCCCTCCTGAAGTAAATAATATTAAAGGAATACTGATGAAAAAGCTACTGCCTGGTCAATGGGAAGAATTATGTAGACCCATCACCGTTGGGGAAGTTAGATTGACTCTGGTTGGTTTCCATGGGGAGAAGGCTCCTGTACCAGATGGTTTCCCTGCCTGTTATTTCTAAGCTACGTGGAGCATTATTGGAGCTGAGGTAACTAATGCTATACTTTACTTTTTTCATGTATCTAGTATACCTATCAACATAAACTCTACCCTTCTAGCCCTCATTCCTAAAATTCAGAACCCTGAGGAAATGAAATTATTTAGCCCAATTTCCTGTTGTAACATACTTTATAAATGCATGGCAAAAAACTTGGCAACTAGATTAAGCTCTGTAATGCCTAGCATTATTAGTGAATCTCAGACTGCTTTTGTCAAAGGCAGAGTAATTGGTGAAAACATTCTACTCGCACATGAACTGATATGATCCCATTTGGCTTAGTCTACAAGCCACAATGGATTGAATCAAAATTCATCTCAAGCTATGAAATGAATTCCAAATTTTGTCCAAGTGTTTTATCCGTTTCAGGTACCGTACTTGGCACTCAAGTTTCTTCCAATTGGATCAATGGAAATGGGCAAAGGAAGTCTTGTTTTGAAGCTGGTGAGTTTTTCTAGAAGATAGAGTATTCTGGAGCTCAAGAACAAGGCAGGAGGGTCATGGTTAAAGTGTCACAAAACGCTATGTCGAAACTGGAATTTTGCCAAAAATTGGTCAAGTGTCAGAACCAGTTTGAGAACCCTACTTTGGAGGAGTATTCGAAGCACATGGGGAAGAGTCGAGGCTGAATCTTTGTGCAGCATGAAAGTAGGTTTCTTCTACTACAACAACGTGGCGTTGGATGACTGGAATGAAGAATGGAAGGCCTCAAACGAAAGCTCCAAAGATCGTATCGAAACTGAGTTTCTGTCTTGGGAAACAAGGCAATCCGAATCCTTATCGGATTAGGATTCCTTTGCTGGTTTGTGTTTAATTCCTTTTCATTGTTGGTTTTGGTTTCCTTTTCCAATCGTAATTTGTTTAGGACTTCTCTAAGAGTAGTTGGATTGGCTAGGTCTATTTAAGCAACTTTGATTCATTGTAATTTTCAGATTTCATAGAATTGAATACAAACTTGAGTTTGGTTCACAAAGCTTGTTGCTTTCGTGAGTTTGAGAGTTGTTTAGAAGGAGTTCTAAGCAGCTTGAGTGCTTGTATCGTTCAACTAATCACGTTGTTCATGGCCGAGCTTCTACCTATAGTTTACGAGCCTTTCTCCCTTCGTGAGAATTGCACGAAACTTCCACCAACACACATTCAAATCATACCCTGTTTGTGGAGTTCTTGCTCGAGGAAACTCTTGGATTCCTTAGTTGTGCTATTCTGATCAATAAACCTCATCTAGGGGTTCATCAAGTGGCATCAAGAGCCTGGTTGTACACAGTGGACAGAACGAAGGAAGGCGTGGTCACAACGACGCCCTGGACAAGGTCAAAAGGACCTGTGTCGGAAGACCCTGCTTTTGTGTTTCCAGAATCAACGAAGAAGAAGGACCGAATAGAGATGGCTGGATAGACGTTTGACATGAAGGAATTGTTGGATCGTATGGAGGAGATGGTTCAGGCTCAAATTCGAGATCTATTAGGGCAATTTAAACAAGAAATTGACCGGCAATTTGAGACTATTGCTTGGCCGGAGAATCGGGTTCGAACAGAGGAAGCTCCCGGCGGAGAAAAGCCAGCTGGTAATCCAGCATTGTTGGATAGAATTGCGGAGCTTGAACGGAGACTCGTCATTGCTGATCCCAATCGAGAACGTCCACACCGTGATCGTCGCGAACGACAAAAAGAAGTAGAACCGGCAATCCCTCCGAGCATCAAGCTATCAGTACCAGCGTTTCAGGGGACAATGAATCCCTCTACATATCTCGACTGGGAAAGGAAGATTGTGCTTTTCTTCCAATGTGGACAGTTTACTGAAGGCTAAAAAGTAGCTATGGCTACTTATGAATTCTCGGATTACGTCACCCAGTGGTGGGAGCAGCTGCAGCTTCGCCGGCGATGAAATAATCAGAATCCGGTCGCGACCTGGGACGAGCTACGTGGAATCATGCGAGATAGGTTCATACCTGCCTATTACCAGCGCGAACTCTATGAATCTCTGTAGGGGATTAAACAAGGGTCAAGGAGTGTGGAGGAGTACTTCCGAGAACTTGAATTGCTGATGATGCGGGCCGATGTAAGGGAAGATCGAGAAGCGACGGTGGCGCGATTTTTTCATGGTTTGAACCGCAAGATTCGACAGGAAGTGGATCTTTGATCTTTTGTCAACCTGGAGGAAGCCCTTCACCTCACAATTAAGGTTGAAAAGCAACAGAGATCGTCAAGGAAGTTCACGTCGGAAAACAAGGCGGCCGTAGAGTCAAGTTTCAACTCTAATTCCCAGCAGACACGACCTCAACATGGCAAATTGGTGCCCATGAACACAAATCCAGTACTTACTGAGCGCTCTGGAGGCATCCAATTCTATAAATTCCATGGTAGAGGGCATAAAGCAAATCAATGTCCCAATCTGAAGACGTTAATCTTCAAGGACGGCCGATATCTCACCAACGACGAACAAAATTCACATGACAATGATGTAGACGAGAAGCTTGAAGCAGAACCTTCCCCAGGAAAGCTCATGACCGTTAGTCGACGAGTTCTAACCATGGATGTTCAGTCCGATACCAGTCAAAGAGAGAATTTGTTTCATTCTCGTTGTTTGTTCGCCGGAAAGGTTTTGTCTGTGATCGTGGACCGAGGCAGCTGTGCAAACGTCGTTAGTCAAGAGGCAGTAGACAAGCTAGGGCTGCACACGACGAGACACCCCGACCCATACAGCTTGCACTGGCTTAACTACTATGGTGTCGTTCGTGTAAGAAAGCAAGCTAGGATCAGCTTTGAGATCAGAGCGTACAAGGACGAGCTTGAATTTGATGTCGCGCCAATGCAAGCTACTCACTTACTTCTCGGAAGGCCATGGTAGTTCGATCGCGGTGTTTGCCACTATGGAGTCACGAATTGCTACAAAGTTCGTCACAATGGGAAGACTATTCTTTTAAAGCCACTGTCACTAGAAGAGGTTCGAGCAGATCGGCGACAACTTGAGGCTAGCCGTCGACGAACCAAGGGGAAGTAAGGTGAGGGATCCAGTTCGTCCCCTCTCTTCACTAAGCGTTTTATGCTTACTGGGTATAAACGACCAAGAGCACAGCGACGACGTCGCCCCGTCAAGCCTTCACCGGAACAGAGCAGGAGAGGGAGAATTGGGGGGAGCTCCTCAGGAAGATTCAACACCAGGGGAAGACGTCAGCACGTTCCATGGAGTTCAGGGAAGCTCTACCATCAAATGGATTGGACCGAATCAACCCAAACCCCCGAATCCAATTAGAGTAGAATCTGCTCTGAAATTTACCAACTTCGAGCAAAAATCAAGTCTATGAGTTGAATCGATTGGTGATGATTCGACTCGATTGGTGACTGCAGAATCATTCAAGGAAACCCCAGGAAACTCTCAGCTTATTCAATTCGACCTTAAGAGCTCTACATAAAAAACACCCAAATTACGAATGAAGTTCCTGGGTTTGGAGAATTTGAACTGCGACCATGGCGGGAAAGAAAATGACAACGGTTCGGTGATATAGACGATGAATCAATGCACGATGACCACCAGAGATTCAATTCGATCCAAGACGAAGCCATTGGTGACCTTGGATTGCCCAGTGGATGTCTGAATAAAAAATCCCCAATTTCCTCTTCAACGAACACTGCCTGGGTTCGTCAGAACATTAAACATAAGCAGCCTTACTACGACCCGATTTGGGAAGAATTTCTTGAGGATTCGAGATAAAGAGGGCCAAAACTTTGAGGGCAAAGCTTTTTTATGAGGGGGAGTCTGATATGATCCCATTTGGCTCAGTCTACAAGCCAGAATGGATTGAATCAAAATCCGTCTCAAGCTATGAAATGAATTCCAAATTTTGTCTAAGTGTTTTATCCGTTTGAGGTACCTTACTTGGCACTCAAGTTTCTTCCATTTGGATCAATGGAAATGGGCAAAGGAAGTCTTGTTTTGAAGCTGGTGAGTTTCTCTACAAGATAGAGTATTCTGGAGCTCAAGAACAAGGCAGGAGGGTCATGGTTAAAGCTTCTCAAAACGCTATGTCGAAACTGGAATTCTGCCAAAAATTGGTTAAGTGTCAGAACCAGTTTGAGAACCCTACTTTGGAGGAGTATTCGAAGCACATGGGGAAGAGTCGAGGCTGGATCTTTGGGCAACATGAAAGTAGGTTTCTTCTACTACAACGACATGGCGTTGGATGACTGAAATGAAGAATGGAAGGCCTCAAACGAAAGCTCCAAAGATCGTATCGAAAGTGAGTTTTTGCCTTTGGAAACAAGGCAATCTGAATCCTTATCAGATTAGGATTCCTTTGCTGTTTTGTGTTTAATTCCTTTTCATTGTTGGTTTTGGTTTCCTTTTCCAATTGTAATTTGTTTAGGACTTCTCTAAGAGTAGTAGGATTGGCTAGGTCTATTTAAGTAGCTTTGATTCATTGTAATTTTCAGATTTCATAGAATTGAATACAAACTTGAGTTTGGTTCACAAAGCTTGTTGCTTTTGTGAGTTTGAGAGTTGTTTAGAAGGAGTTCTAAGCAACTTGAGTGCTTGTATCATTCAGCTAATCACGTTGTTCATGGCCGAGAATGTGTGTGACCACTCCAAAGCTCAGTATTGGTTTTAATGGAGGTTCAGTTGGTTATTTCTCTGCAAAGAAGGGATTGAGGCAGGGTGATCCCCTCTCCCCTTATCTGTTTGCAGTGGCTATTGAAATATTTTCATATCCAATGAATGAAGTTGTCCATAGGGCTGCAAATGAGTCGAGCTGTTCGCGAGCGACTCGACGTTCGAAACTCGGCTCGTTAATAAACAAGCCGAACATGAGCTGAGCTTTGTTCATCTCGTGAAGCTCGCGAGCTAGCTCGACTCGATGCCTTGTTGAGCTAAACTCATGAGCTAGCTCGTTTAAAGCTCATGATATGTCACAACATGTGTCTAGAGAGCCAACTCGATTACCGACTTATGGATGAATCAATCTATATCTTATGATTTTAATTCATATGGTTGTTAAATTATATATCTCACCATATATAAAGTTTAACACGTTGAGTATGTGAGCAAATATATCTTATTTTCTACTTTAAAAAGAAATTATGTATCTTAGATTGCTTCGATACAATGAAATAACATGATTTTGAGTAGTTAAAATTTATTAACTAAATGATATATGATACCAACAAAGTATAATATGAAATTATCTAACATAATAAATCATATGTACCATGATATACAAAATGAAATACCAAAAAAAAGCAAGATTTTAGTAAACAAGCTAGCTCGAGCTCGACTCGGCTCGTTAATAAACGAGCTGAGCTCGAACTCGACTCGTTTATTAACGAGCCGAGCTCAAACTGGGTAAAACTCGACTCGACTCATTTGCAGCCCTAGCGTCCAACAGAATGCAATGTCTTTTCACTCTATGTGTAAGAGACTAAAATTGACTCACCTTATGTTTGTTGATGACCTCTTACTTTTTCTGATGGATCAAACTCTGGGATTACTTGCATTCAACAAGTTCTATCTGAGTTTAAGAAAATGTCCGGACTTCAATCCAACCCTGCTAAGTGTGAGTTATATTGTGGGGACCCTCCTTGTTCGCTACTTAGGTCTTCCCTTGTTGGCGGGTAGGGATGGGGTACAAAATTGGGGACTCTCTTGTTGGCGGGTAGGGTATAAAATTGGGGACTCTCATCGACCCGACCTACACTGAACCGCCCCATTCTCGACCCGTTCTTGCCTAAATTACTTGTAATTTTAGTCAAATTACTTAGGAGTTTTCTTTTATTACATCAAATTTTAACTATAATATAGTTGTAAATTAGTGAAAACCTCAATTTCTCCAATAATTTAACTATATTTATCATAATATTGTTTGTTTTCTTGGTCTTATAATAAAAATAACGAATATTTCTAATGTTTTTCATACAAATTGCATACCGATTGGGTCGACCTGCCCCGACCCGTGACCCGTGATAAATTACCCGACCTGGACCCGACCTGCCACAGGGTGTGTTTGGGTACTATGAAACCCGCCCCGGACCTGCCCCATTGCCATTCCTATTGGCGGGGAAGCTCACTATTAAAGCTTGTAAACCCCTGATTGACAGAGTTACAGGAAGAATAACTAGCTGGAAGTCAAAATCTCTCTCTTATGTTGGTAAACTTCAGTTGGTTGTGTCTGTACTGTATAGTCTAACACAGTTTTGGATGTCAATTTTTATTCTCCCAAAAGCTGTCATCAGGGCTATTGAGAAACTATGCAGTGATTTTTTGTGGCGGGTGGGAGATGGAGCTCGGAAAAAGGCAGTGGTAGCTTGGCCTAGGATTACTTATCCAAAGAGGGAAGGTGGTCTAGGACTTAGGGACATGGTTTCATGGAACTTTGCTTGTGTTACAAGACACATTTTGGCTATTCTTTTGAAACAGGGCTCTCTATGAGTTGCCTAGCTCTGGGAATACCGTATTAAAAGCAAGAAATTCTGGACTCTAACTATCAAGGCAAGTTCCTGGTTAAAATGACAAAAGCTGCTGAAGAGTAGGGATAAGTTGAGAATATGGCTTTTTGACGAAGCTGATGGGGTTCACTGGAAGGGAGAGTTAATGGCTAAATACAGCATTAAAAAGTATGGGAGGAAATCAAACCTAAAAGAAGCCATGTTTCTTGGCATTCTCTGGTTTGGAAAGGGCCTAGCATCCCTAAAAATCAGTTCCCGGTGTGGCTAATCGTTAATGATTATATCATAACAGGGGACAAAGCTCAAGGTTGGGGTGGTGCTGGAAGCTATGGTTGTGTGTTTTGTTCTAGTTCCCTGGAAACACGTTCTCACTTGTATGCTGAATGCCAAATATACAAAAAAAAATGTATGCAGCTCTGTTTGTTAAATTTGCAGATCCAACACCTAGAAATCAGTGGTTGGACGAACTTTAATGGCCAACTCTTTAGTTCCAAAAAAAGACTATTGTTTCCCAGGCTGGGAAAGTTATATGGCAGGCTTTGATTGCTAAGACTTGGAGGGAGATGTGCCATGTTAAATTTGGTGGAAGGAGAACATATATGAATGAGTTGATCCGGTTGGTTAAGAGTGATTTGCGGCTGATACTTGATTCTATTGTATTAGATCAATACTTCTAGGAAATGAATGTCTTTGCTGATTTGTTTTGATAGATAGCCAGTTTTGTAGTTGTTTATACCAGTCTATCAGTTACTAAGCTCAACTGCCAGAGCTTGTTGCCAGTAAGTACCTTACTGCATTTTGATGAAATGAAAGTCCCAACCAATTCATAAAAAAAAAAGTTTATATATCTAAATGTGAAGCTTGGTTACTGTTACCTAATTATTTGTATTCTGATACCCCAAATTTAATTAAATCACAATTTAGTCACTATAATGTACAATGTAATTTGATACCCAAAATTTAATTTTAATATAAAATCATTGAACAATTATGTTTTGGTATCTAAATTTACATATCGGTCGAGTGTTTAGATTTCGCTTGAGTCCATGAATCCAATCCACCATAACATAAAAGTATAAATTTAGTTTGTACAATACAAGAGAGACGACTCTAAAATATTAAAAGAGAGCAGTTATAAACTCATTTAGTATATTTACAGGTTACTAAACAAACTTCTACTAACTACATGTAACAAAATATGCGACATCTACATAAGCAAGTGTCAATAAATTACTACGGTGAAAATGGTTGATTGTTGTATTGACGTTCAACTAAAAGAATTGGTCAAAACCTTTCCATCATCTACTTCCTCTTCGTTTCAGTTTTGATTCGCCTTCCATAACCCTTTCATTATTTGTTTTTTTGCCTTCTTCGTCTAACCCTAATTAGTATAGTATTTTTATGTATTCTAATCACAATTGTAAATATATATGGTTATTACTTATTAGAAAGTCGTCATTTTCCACTATGGAATTTGAGGGCGTGAAATTTTAAGCGAGTTCCAGTTTGTGTCGAAAAAACTTGTGTCACCTAAAACACATGTTATGTGACGAAATTTATTGATCTTCACTGAACTGTTAAATCATTTGTTAGATTTTACAAAACACAATCAATGACAAAATTTATTGATTATCACCTATAGTTCATTGTTAAGAATTTCGATGAAAAAACTTTTTTCGTCACATAAGTTTCATGTGTTTATGTGATTAGTAAGTATTCAATACATGCAGTATTATTTTGTTGTTGTGTAATGTGTTTCTTTAATGGACCATAACTCATGTAAATTGTAATACCCTGTCCTTAAGTTTATTTGGATTCATCTACTACCCTCCACTTAGCTATAAGTAATCTAATTGACTAATTGTAATTATACCTAATTGTAAACTAATCTTAATTAGGAATAACATAAGTCAAAAGCAGCAACATATGTTTCCCCAGCCGATTTCCTTAACCTCTCGGCCTCTCCCACTCCTTATAATTAACATAAACAAAACCCTAAAATATTTCCGGATGCAAGCACTCGAGAACATCCCTTCCTTGATATGATGAGCCGCTAAACACATCTTAAAATCCGTTTCCATCTCGTCTCCTTCTCGATGAAAAACCCGACCACCACCGATTATTGTCATTTTTTGCCCAGCTTTTAGAAGTGTTTTTCTATTTAAAAACTAAGACAGGGTCAAACAACTCTAAAAGTTCGGATTTTGAAAAACCGAAAAGAGTTTTTGTATAACATAAAAGCAGAAGCTCCAATTTGGAACCTCTGCGAAAAACTATTTTGAAAATACAAAATTATTCTTACCATATTTTAATTTTAGGTTTCGGTTAGAAACTGCTTCTATAAAAACTACAATATAGCCAAACTAAGCTATTCTTTTCCTTCTCATCATCTCTAGTTCTCTACCCAACTCAAGAACCAGTAGTTGATTGCAGCAGAACCAAGGGAAGCAGCCGCAAAGTCCAAGGCGATCGATCAACTCGATCGTGAAGGAGAAGAAAGTAAGCGATTGTCAACGGCCAAACTGAGGGTTCGGTGCCAAAAAATTGATGAGCTTGAATACCACGATTTGGTGGAATTAAAAGGTAAGATCATATTCGTTTTTCTTTTTCTCCTTTCAATTTATTTCTCTAGGGTTTGATGTTCACCTTTTCTTCTTTGTTTCTTTTGGCTCTCATCTCTTGTGAGAGCTCGATCGAGGTTTTTCTGTTTGATGTACCTCTTTTCTCTTTCAAGTTTTTCAATAGTATTCTCACGCTTAACATAAAAATAATAGGATTGGTTGTTAGCTTTTAATTTAGTTAAGGTAATTTTAGGATTGAGTTACGAATTTAACTCAATGTCCTCCATTTATGTAATATAATATGAGATGATGATATCATACTTCCAAATATCCGTAGGCTAGAGGAACTCATGAATATTAAATTGCTCCATGAATTTGTATTCAGAGTGATAACAAAATGCAACTTTGAGAAGATGTTCAATCTCTAACTCACTTAAGGTTTCATAATGCCTACTTTTTTTAGAAAATGTTTTCCATATTGATTTTCAGTGTTCTAACGTTGTTGTTTCTAATATGGAAGTCAGGTTGACGAAGTTAAGGCTACGTAGCTCCAGCCTTTCATATTGATTTGCTCATTTCCCTTTTCATTCCATGGGTGCGTATGTATTAATTATGGAACATTTTCATCTACTTGTCAATGATAACATTGTGGGTGTTACGAGATCGAGGTATCGTAGCATTTCGTAGAAGACTGGGCTTGCGTATCTTTGGTATTTATTTATTAATTCGTATTTGGATATTATTGGGTCTTTATTATTATTGTCTTAATTAGTGTTTTCCTTGTTCAAGTCGGTTTTGGTTATTGTTAGTTGTTTCCTTAGAGGAGTAAGAGTCATATTCTAGAAGGGAAAAGGTAGAGGCTTTTATGCTTATAAATATGTACTTGTTTCGTTCGTTTAATGAGAAGAAAATTGGAATCCAATAGTTAGCTTTTGTTCTTTATTTGCTATTTCCTTAGTTATTTCCTTTAAGAGTTCTTTACATTTTATTCTTTTACAAGAAAAAACTAAAAACGTCATCCCCTACGTCACATCAGCGTAATAGTGGGTATCTCATGCTCACTCCACCGAGATGTTGATGAGACCAAGTTGGATTATGAAGTCTGCCGATGATTTGTGCTTGCCTCTTTGGAAATTCATAAAGTGCAAGCTTCCAACGGATCTGATCGAGTTGGTTCAGAAGATTTTAATTTCTAGGAGCATGTTAGATATTTAAGTGATAGGATAATAGTTGTTACTCATTGTGAATATTGATATTCATTGATCAATAGTAGTTAGCAATGTATCAAACATACTGCTATATTTAGTTTGTATTATAATTGAGATTGTAGTTGGAGATATTCCTCGCCTGTATTTGATCAAGTGTATAATGCATTTCATTATTTCATAATGAATTGAGTTTTATTATTAAATAAATATTATTGCATATAGATGTTTGTGACAGGAGCATTAGACCCAACAATATTCCTTCGTGACAACTGTTGTAGTAACCAAATGTATCTTGTGACTTATTTAAAAAGTTCGTCACCAATGTTGTTACAGTTTTGACGATAACTTTGTCACAAAAACATAATTTTGTAACAATAAAGCCATTACGAAAACCACTTTTCGTGACAAAACTACTGTAATAGTGGTGGGGCATTTGTGACAACATAAATTCGTAGCATATGAGATGCATTTGGTGACGACAAATATGAGTCACAAATGTATACTAGTCATTACAAACAAAAGTTGTCCCAATTGAGTAGATTTTATGTGACAACAAAACATGTCATGAATAAAAATAGTCGTGTTGGTTATACTTTTCCAAAAATGTTGCATAAAATTTTGGAGGTGTTGCTTAAAATAGTGTTATATGCAACACTTCTTATTTTGTTACAAAAAGTGAAAAAAGTGTTACATATTACTTAAAGTAACACCACTTATAGGTGACACTATTAAAAGTGTTGCATATTGCATAGACAACATTTTCGACACTTTTTACAACACTTTTCACCTGTTGGCAAATGCCACTTTTTCCGTAGTGCGGATTGAAAAATCTCTCATCCGCACTTATGTGGGTGAGTGGTGGGTGGATTGCGGGTCACCCGTATGACCCGCATCCTATTTTTACATGAAAAAAGGTTGTTTCTTATAGTATCGAATATCATCATATTTTTGAACTGCACTACATAGTCTGACCATATAATTCAAAAGGTGGAGAATAAAGAATAGTTTTGACTACTATTATTGGTTACTGTAATGTGCAATATCCATTAGATATTGGATTTTGGTATGCAAATTATCGTTAATATCCATTAAATATTAAGATGCAAACTATAAATTATTAATTGTATAAAAATCACAAATTATTGATACAATCTTAGTTATTTGCTATGTAGTTATTATAAATTTTAGTCAACTTTCTTAATGGCTAGTTGGAGAATTGCTTTTGCGGGTTGACCCACGACCCAACCCCACTCATCCGCCACCCACCCAACCCAACCCGTAGAAGTATGTGGGTGGATTCTGGGTCACAATTATTCCAACTCGCTAGTAGGCGAGTGGGTCAATTTGAAATCAAAATCCATCAAACCCGTCCATTGCCCACCCCTGGCTGACAGAAATAGCTACTAATATACTATAAATGAATTAAGGACTAAAATTGGTAATTAATTATATAAATTACGTCCACATATGGATTGGTGGTTATAATAATTAATTAATGTGCATGTTGTTGGCTGCTTCTAATTAATTTCACTAATTAATCGTAGTAACACAAATGATTATGCTGCAAGAATTACGACAGATATTCAGGAATCTACAGTATCATTTATAGTGGAAACTTAAAATTGCCACCACTATTCAAAAATCCCTGCGCCTAGAGTGATTTGTGGGAGCTGACGTGGCTGGGTATTGACGGGCTCCGGCTACCGCTTCAATAGCTCCTCAAATTCTTTTCCAGTCACAAAACTGATTTTCGTCATTTAGGTATTATGCTACCTGAATTCTCCTCCATTAACCGTACCCCCAGCTGCCTTCCCCTGCCTTTGAATCCCCAACTGCCTTACCTCCGGCCCCCGGTAACCACCCATCGACGATTCCATTTCTTCTTCAATTGGATTTGAGGAGGGTAACCACCCAGCGACCCCCTTACCGTTCCACCGTCGTGGCCTTCCCAGATTTGGATTTCAGAGTCTTTGTTCCGCATCATCGTCTTACACAGTCGGCCGATACCTAGCCTCCGCCTTCCGTCAACTGGATTTTGGGGTCGCTGCTCTTTGTT